ATACATCACTGCAGATGTGCGACAAAGAAAAGTGTAGTGCTTGAATATTTGTTTATTTAAAGTAAATTTTATAAGGGTCAAACCTGGAAAATCACGACTTTCGCTGAAATGTTTGTAAAAGCCAACGTTCAACAGCTTTATATTCATACTACTTCTTCTCCAGAGACTACTGTGCCTTGTTAAGTTACTCGTGCCGGTGGTAAGACTACGACGCCAGGTAGCACGTTCACATTTTTCCCACCCACCTTTTCCCGACAGAGGTCCCAAAAAGCTCACATCTGGAAATAAAACCATTTCTGTGTATCTCGGGACTCAAGAAACGCTTCGAGTAATCATTGCACCAGCTGACACAGCAGACTCGAGTGCGAGTCGGTATACCTACATCAAATACTTGCATTTTGGAAACAGTGGCTTTGAAAAATCAACTCAAGTAGTTAGTTATTTAGTATTCTTGCCCAAGAAGGTAGCCAGGTAGTGAGATATCCCCCTCAAATATGGTCGGGTCCAAAGCCATCAATGCATTGTATGGCGAAATATTATAGAGCGTGGCTGATGCGTACTGAAAAAAATACTGATGATGCGTACTGAAAAAATACATAAACCTGTATGTTGTCTGGTCAGACCAGAATGTTCACTCCCATCGGGAAAAGATTGACATCTAGATTTAACCAGAAAAAAGAAAGTAAACAAACCCATGTTGTGCCTATCTCCTTAAATCCTTCCTCCCAAGATAATAAATTTAAGAAGTGAATGACCACTTCTTATACAAGACCAAAGCCAATCAATGCATCATATGGCGATATATTATTGAGCATGGTTTGATATATCAGAAAGAACTCTGCCCCTCGAACCAGAGCCTCTCGTTCACCCCAAACCAAGCTTTGCACTAAGCGAGGGACAAATTGTCATGAAATGTATGTCAGCGGGAGGATAGAATATGGCTGCTCGGCTAAGAACTAGATCAACTAGGAAGAGGAAACAATTACGATTCAATTTTTCAGCGACTTAAAAAATAATTGTAAATTATTTAAAATCCTTACCTCTACTCGAGGTAATTGTCATCTCAACCGGTTCCTTTTTACACAAAGTAAGCACCAAGTGTTTCTATAGATACTCCTCTGAATTTCATTTGGTTGGTTTGACTGTAACTCATTTTGAAAATTACATACCGTCAACAGAAGAAAATTTAGTAAGAGTGAAGGGAAGTTGAAAACTTATCAACAGTAAAATACAGTAGTATTGTAGCAAACAGAGGTTTTAATCACCGAACTAGGTTTATCTTTCGTTCTTTTTGTCCTAAAATGAGCTTTATCAAGCTAAACAATAATTTACAAATAAAAATATGAACTCAATAAGGATCTGAGTTAAATAATTGTTTGCTCCTGTTTTCTTTATGTAACACTCGACCTTAATTCCTGTGGCCACGTGCTTCACAGTCCAAAGTTATATTTTTGCGAAGTTGTCGATTTCTGTGGACCCTAATTTTGAATTAATTAGCGTTATTCCGCACACGAGAAACATGTTTCTGAACTAGCAACATTTCGCCAACATTTGGTTCTCGGTTTAGTTAAAGACTTATATTTGAACAAAGATCTCTTAGGTGAAGTAATTACAGCCTCCTTTTCAACGAAATGGAAAGAGAGAAACCCTGAGATACGATTTGTAAACAATCATCATCAGGAGGTGTTGACTATCCTGCCAGGTTATAACGCTATTATGGGAGCAATGCAACAATTTCAGGACTGCAAACCGCTTTTGTGGTACAGCAATATGGACTGTAAGATGATATTCTATTAAATAAGATGTAGATTGGATGTAAAATGCGAAACAATCGAGTTTGCGTGTGAACGTGTACATTTTCGAATAACTGACGGCATCGTCAAATCAGCTCATTTTATCCAACTTTAAAATTTGATTAAATCGCAATGAATCATTTCCCCAAAAAATCCTTTAAAGATCGAAAAGAACCATACTTTACCTTCCAAAGCCAGATTTTCAGTCGATTATTTTGTATAGCACATAGTTAAATAACAGGTTACTTTTGACCTATTTTTAATCTTGTTAGAAGAAGGTCGGATAAATTCAATTACGTTGTGTTGCTCCAAGATGAGGCTTAAGAGCGAATGTTACCAACGTATGTATTGATTTTGTTTTCAAGATTTGGTAGTTTTTATCGGTCCAAGTGTTTTCAATTCGTGGCGCGACGCTCCGAGATTCGTCTGAAATTTGGAGCTTCAAAAGTGGCATTTGGACGAAATTCAGCTTTTGTTGATTTTCTCGAAAATAAATCGATATTCAGCCAAACGAAGTATGCAGTGCTTTATTTCACCATAAGGCCTACCTAAGTTGAGAATATGAGCCGAATCGATTTTTCGGTTGTTGCCACCATATTTTGAAAATGTTCGATTTTTAGCCACAT